TTAATTTTTGTAACGTTTTGTAAATTTTTGGATTTTTAGAAGCCCTTATCAGAATTCAATCCATATGCTCTCTCTCAGTTGGACTTGCGCAAATCTTAACCAAACGACGAATTTAGACTAAAATGAAAAACTAAAAGTTGATAAAGGCTTTATATAATAATCGTTTATCGATAGGTCTATCTGTAGCTGAAAACTTGAGCAGTTTAGCTATAAAAAGCCCTTTCAATAGGCCTATAAAAACAAAAAGGGCCAATTTTTTTTTCAAAGTCTGAGAGTCTAGCTATAAAGTAGTAGGAGCCAAGCAGCCCATGAGCGTAGAGGTATACTCTATATAGTTCTTTCGGGCTGTGTATACCTGAGTATTTATATATATATTTCAAATTTAAATTCTCTATTCATGCGAACAGATAAACTCTCTCTTCTCAGTTTCTAAGCGAGCATACAAGTCTTTAAGAGCGCGCGACTCGGATGTGCCCGACTATGATATACCGTGAAGAATTTCTTGCGTTAGCATTCGCATTCGTATTCCCTTCCCCAAAGACGAAACTGCTTAAGCAGCCAACACAAATACGGGACGCTGGCAATTGGCATTCTATTAATAGAATTCTCAATATTTATGCTCTTTAAAAATTCTGTTTCACTTAGCAAATTTCGATCCAGCTTTTATCTTATGCAAAACTAAGGCAATATCTTTTAAGAATTGACAAAAGAAATTCAGCTAAATAGACTTTTACTGTGTACTCAAAGTCAAATAAAGGAAATATGACTAAACTTTGTGAACTCTACGAAGAGTTGGCTCTAGCTCAATTATGGCATTCCAGCAAAAAGTTAAAGCTTGATCTGGTCTTCAAAAGTTCTCCAGTTCTAAGGCTGTTCGAGCTCGACGAGTTAATATAGGCAGCAAAGTGCTTACATATTGTTGCTATGCGAGAATATATACTTTCCATATATACGAAGACCCAATATTTCCTTCTTAAATTAATGCAGCGTTTCAATTAAATTTAAATTTAATTTTGCTGAAATAAAGAAATTTTGAAACTGGTTAAAATTTGCGTAAATATTGTGAGAAGCTAAAAATAAAGTTTAAAGTATTAAAAAAAGACAAATTATTTAAAATGAAATTTGGTACTTGACTAAGATAAACAAAATAAATTTTAAATAATTATTTATTTATTTCTTTTTTTTTTAATTATTTTCTAAACACTTAACTTTAGGCATAGTATATCTATAGACATAAGTTCGGTATTACTCAAAGAAATGCAAGCTAAAGCATTAAGTAAAGATGTAATTAAGTTAAGTTGCGAATATAATATATATATATATGCATATATATATTTCCAATAACATATATTGAAATTTGGATTGTTTATTGTTTAATTTGTGAATAAACATAAACAATATATGCATATGTTATTAGTCAATGTCGAAGAAACCAAAGACCATTTAAGCGTATTAAGAAGCATAATCAAATGAAATATATGTTTTTGTAATTACACTAGCCAACAGGAGTTGGGGCGTGCAATGAATTAACCTGGAGCTGCCATTGAAATGAGCACTCAAATCTGAATGAATTTGCCTTTCTCTTGCCCTCTCGCTCCCTCTCTCAAATTGACTCTGAAATGAGAAATCAAATCTGAATGAATTTGTCTCTCTCTCTCTTTCTCTGTCTCAACTGAAATCGAACTCAAATCGACTATGAAATGAGTAGTCAACTCTGTCTTTCTCCCCCTTTCTCTCCTGCTCCCTCCCTCTCTCTCCTTCTATTAATGACACGTTGTCAGAACTTAGAAAATTTCTCTGGCCATTCGGGAGCCCTAAAAGGGCAGCGCTGCCAAACTTTAATCCGATTTTGATTAACGCAACAAATTCTGTTGGCCAGTGTTATTATGCATAGACTCTGGCATAAGTGTTAAAATCATTTGGATTTACTCCAGTTTTTTTTCCATGCGTTGTTTATTAGCATAAATTTTGTTCATAGGGTTTCGGCATTGCCGAACTAAAAACGTAGCTTAAGAAAATTATATAGATAACTTAAGATGTTGAAGAAGAAGAAGACAACTTGTGGATTTGTGTGTTATTTGCATATATCGATATTTGTAAATGTTACCTACTGCATTCCTAGCACAGTTGTGGAATTGAACAATATTTGAATTGAAACATTTGCAAACCAACAATAAACAAATACAAATTGAAATATTGTAGATCTAAGCAAAACTTAACCAAAAACCAAACAAGGAAACGAAACAGTTAGCAGAACAAAGGCAACAAATGATGAGTCACTAAAGGCATGAACAGCTTTTGGAGCGAAACAATTGATTGTAAAAATTTTAAATAAAATACATTTTTTTTTAACCAAATATAAGAAATACAAAATCTACAAACCATATTTAGATGTATGTGTGAACGTATTTATAGGGTATTCCAAAGTTTGCATAATTCAAATGGCAACAGAAACAACAAAAAAATTAGAACAACAACAACAACAACAAAACACAGGGCAATTTTCGAAACTAAAATGAAGAAAAAAAAAACAAAAAAAATAAGAAAAAAAAGCAAGAAAATTGAATTATTGTATTTAACTATGAATGTTTGTACCAACATTTTACTCTTGTGTTAATTAAACGTAAACTACAACAAATATGTACAAGCTGCGTATAAATGGAAATAAAATCGTTTTACTCTTTGGAATTTAACTCAAACTTGCAAGACTTCTCTGTTGCATGGAAAAATACTAGATATGAATAGGCTGATTGATTGACCAGCTGACTGACTGACTGATTGATTGATTGATTGCTCAAGTGACTGTATGCATAAGCTAATATATTCAAACTAGTCACAAATATGGAAACTGATTGATTGACCAGCTGACTGATGGCTTGATTGTTTGACTGACTAAGAGATTATCTTAATATATTCAAAAGAGTGATTGATTGACTAGCTGACTGATTGATTGATACAAGCTATGAATAGGCTGATTGACTGACTAGCTGACTGACTGACTGATTGATATTCAAACTAGTCACAAATATGGAAACTGATTGATTGACCAGCTGACTGATGGCTCGATTGTTTGACTGACTGACAGATTATCTTAATATATTCAAAAGAGTGATTGATTGACTAGCTGACTGATTGATTGATTCACTGATTGACTATTTAGCTGAGCTAATAAATTCACAATAGTTGACCAGCTGACTGATTGGTTGATTGATTGACTGATTGATTGACTGATTGATTGATTGAATGAATTAACTAATATATATTTAAACTAGTCACTGATATGGAAACTGATTGATTGACTAGCTCACTGATGGGCTGATTGATTGACTGATTGATTGATTGAATGACCTTACTAATATATACTCAAAATTGTTACAGATAAGGAAACTGATTAATTTTCTAGCTTATTAATTGATTGAATGAATGTCTAATTAATACATTTAAAATGATGGATTGAATAGCTGATTGATTGATTGATTAATTGAGTGACTGACCGACTAATACACTTACACAAATGTGGAAAATGATTGATTGACGAGCTAGCTGATTAATTGATTGATTGATTGATTGACTGAGTAAATGAATGAATGAACTAACTTGTATATTAAAAATAGTCAAAGATATGGAAACTGATTGATTGACTAGCTGGCTGATGGGTTGATTGAGTGATTAAATGACTGACTGACTGACTGACTTCACAATAGTCATAGATAAGGAAACTGATTGATTGTCTAGCTGACTGACTGATTCAAGTTGACTGGTTCAAGTTGTCTGACTTAGTAATGAGAGAACTTCGTGATTGACTGATTGATTGATCAACTAATTGACTGAGGAATTGCTAGACTGCCTGACTGTGTGACACAGACTGAATGACTAATTTTCTGAATGATTGACTGACCTCTTGAAAGATTGACGAACAACTGAATCAACCACTGCCTTGACCAACTGAATGAATGAAAGTTCACCTGTTACAATTTCACTGGCACTTGCTGTAGGTAAACGACAGAAACCGATAGATGATACCCCAGAATATCTGGGTGTACCATCTTGAAGAGGTCCCAAAGCAGCACTGAGCCGCAGCCAGCGCCGAAGCCGGAGCCAGAGCCGAAGCCAGACCAATTGGCAAACAGAATCCCACTCGACTTTCGACCTGCGCAGATCCTAGCTATGTAAATGGGCAACACGTGTAAACAGAGACATTATTTAGTTAAGCAATTGCGTTGCTCTGGACGCCGCCCCACTTGACCGCACTACTTCCGCAGCGCTACAGTGGCACAAAAACTATGAGAACTATGTATGTTAAGGAGATTAAACAAACGATTTTCGATATTTTTTCGTAGATTTTCCATAGGTTTTCAATATATGTTTGATATATTTTATTTTATATATTTTCGATCGATTTTTAATATATGTGTGATAGATTTTTTTATATGTTGTAAATTTTCTTTATATTATCGATAGATTAATGATAGATTTTCGATAAATTTTTCTAGATCTTCGATATATTTAAGATTTTGAATATATTTTGTAGATTTGCCATAGTTTATCAATATATTTTTGATAGGTTTTTAATAGTCTTTTTAAATTATTTTCGATAGATTTTCAGTATATGTGTAATCGATTTTCGATAAATTTCGCTTTCCGATAGATTATTAATCGAATTTCGATACAGTTTTTATTGATTTTAGATTGAATTTCAATATGTTTTCGATATACTATCGAACAATTATCGATAGGTTTTCGATTTTGTTTTATAGGTTTTCGATCGATTGATTGATTTTCTCTATATTTTTTATATATTGTCGATCGATTTTGTGTTTTCGATTGATTTCCATAATTTCGATAATTAGAATCAATATTGTGTAGAGTAGTTCAATGAATCAGCATCAGAACTCAATTCTACAGAGTGAAAAATAAATTGTCCAAAACAAGCAAGCTTTGGTCTTTTATTCCTTATTTTCGAATAGATTAAGCCCCGTAATCGCTCAGTGTATCAGTGTAGCTCGTGCTACTAAGTTTAAATATTGAGCTCAGTAATATTTAAAAATATATTTTGGTAAAATAACTATAAAAGTTGAGAGGAACGCACAGCTTGAGCCATGCCCCAGGTAAGTCTTGAACGGGTGTTCGTGGTAAACCATCTTGATGTCTTCTGTGTCGCATGTGCCGTGCCAGCGACCAAAGTTCAAGGTGCCCAATTATGGGATGGGACGCAAAAGCTCGGTAATTGCTGTACTACAGAAACTTAAACCATGCATCATTGAAAAGTACGCTTATTTTTTGGTTGAAAAGAAGGATGACGAGAGCGCCGTAAATGATGAAAAGCAATCGACTTCCACAAAAGCAATGGCAACTGGAACACAAAAAGTGAACAGCAAAAATGTAATGATCTGTAAGGCAACGGTGCCCAAGAGCATTTGGCAAGGCCGAGTGAAGCGAGGCGGCCAGCAGCGTCTGCCGACCATACCGGAAGTCAAGGAGGTGCCGAAGGAGTACATCGATAGATGCAATCAGGTATTGAACTCTCTCTCGCTGTCTTTCTCTCTCTCTCTCGGTGCCGCCCTCTCTCTCCCTCCCCCTCATCCCTCTTTCTATGCATATAATTAGATAGATCCTTCGCGCAGACTGACAAGAGGAAACTTACACTTACTGATGAAGATCTGAAGCTACTTTTGCCGATCAATCGGTATATAGACTACAAGCTGCATCAATATAACTTTCCGGAGCTGCTCAGCGAGCTGGCCAACAATATTCTTTCCATCGAACACATCAATTTGCAACCTCAATTCGCGATTACGCTACCGGAGCCACGTTTCGCTTGGCGCATCGAAGTCAATTTGTCGTCCAATCCCTCGGCCATCTATCTGATACTTTCCGGCTTCCTCTGGAAGACCCCCTTAGACGACAAGCTGAGCACACCCCTCATGCTCAATGCATACGATCAGTCCAATCGCACCATGGCGGAAAATTTTTATGCCAGGTTAAGGCAACCTACACGGAAAGAACCTGTCCAGCGCTCAACTTGCTTTTTGTCCAAAATTCCAACGTTCTGCAAAAGCACCCCGAACCGACTTATGAAAATTGTTTTAACCTATTTCGTTGTGTTTTGTGTCATTGGCTTTCTTTTCACGCTCTTCCTTTGATTACTTTGCGAATTAAATTTCTGATGCATTTCCCTCTGGAGAAATGGAAAATAAATGTGACTAAGCCTGACTGCTACGGGTATGCCCCATCGCCTTCCAGGAATATATACTCAAATGGTGTAAAATCCTATTAAAAAAAATATTTTTAATTTTTTATTAATTTAAAAAAAAGTTAAAAAATAGCAAATAAAAATTTTTAAAAATTTAAAAGTTAAGCAATTTAAATTAAAATTGAAATTAAAAAACCCACAATTTTAAATAATTTTTTTTTAGTTTTAAAAAATATTCAAAATGTATAAATCAGATAAAAAATATAAAAGTTCAAAAATGTAAATTAAAATTGAACTTAAAAAAAAACAATTTTAAATAAAACAAATTAAAAATAAACAAAAAAAATAAACAAATTAATTAAATAAACATTTAAAAAATTAATTTATATTAGGTTAAAAATTACAATAAAAATTAATATTAAAAAAAAAATAAAAATACGAAATCACAATGATGGATGATCAAGCAGCCTAGTAAGGAGATAACTGTAGATTTCACTGCCAGTTAAGATCGCATAAATCAAAAAGTGGCAACTGCTTCTGGAACGACCATAAAATTGAACCATATCTAAAGCAGTTTGAGCGAGTTGGACAGAAGTTTGGTAATGAACAGATCTTCGGATGAGAGCTTATTTAAAGTCTATCCAAATCGGAGTGAATTTATTTTCGAAATTATAATTAGTTTAATATTTGTCTAGAAAATAATAAAAAAATATTAAAAATAAAACTCACAAATTGATATAAAATATATATATTATAGATCTATCACAGATGAGAGATGAGTGGATGGAATTTCATCAACGAAAGCAGTGTTTTGTACCACTGTAGCTGCAAAATTTATGGGAATTTGTTAATGAATATCCAGGCCATGGACCACGGGCACAAAGGACAACGTGTGTATTGGCCGCAGGATGCTGCGAAATTTTACGATGCAAACAAAGAATAATCGTAACGTGTGAACTTTATGCTGTTTGTCTGTGCGGCGCAGGTAAGCAGCCGCAGCAGCAGCAGCAGCAGCAATGGCAGCAGCAGCAGCAAAGATTGCAGCGTCCAATTGGCCTGGCCGGTGTCCAGATAAACAAGGCAATAAGCGTCACATAGAACACTTGTTGCCGTTGCTCCTCATTAGCGGGCGCCTACAGCTCACAGCTTGCAGCTTGAGTGGGCGTCTGCTTGGATTGCGTTCCACTTGCCTCATTAGTTCAAATATATATATGTATGTATGTGTGTGTGTATATACATACATATAGTGTGCGGCCAATGGGCGTTTCGTTTAATTATGCAAACGTGGCCCGTTGGCCGAGCCTGGCTATATTTCAAAACCGGTCTGCACGGCCAGCAAACGGCTCAGTTAACCAGTGTCCAGCGCGCCAGCCACAACAGCAGCCAGCAACTGCTCCCAGCCCAGTTAGACAACCAAACAGTCGCCAGCAACTGAAGCAGTCATGAGCCAGATCGGCGGAGCTGCAGCACGACCACGCAATTGGACACTTCGTGGCGCCGTTCTGATTCTGGCGCTGCAGCTGCTCCAGACACCCAGTGCGCTGCAGCACACCGAGGAGGGGCTCGAGTTGCTCTTCCGCGAGCGGTAAGTCCACGATGTCTAAACTAATTGGCAAAAGCATAAGCCAAGTCGAGCCAAATTACGTTAACACCAAACTGAAACTATTTTTTATTTTTTAAATAAATAAGTATAAAAATAAATGAGCATATATTTTAAATGTTTATTTTTTAATACTTACCTTTTAGTAATTACAAAAATTTAATAAATTGAAACAACAAATTAGATTTCCTTTATCAAAAATGTTTAAATCATTTTTCTATTTATTTTATCGCTTTTAATAATGTTTTAAGCATAATTTGCTTTTCAACTTTTTCAATAGCAAAAAATAAGTATTTTCTTTTAATAAATAATTTTAAATTCAAGTCATAATATTTTTACTTCAATTTAACACATATTTACACAAAAGTAGAGAATTAAAAAGTTTTTTTTTATTTAGAAAAAAAAGAATTACTTTTTATTAGATTTTATATACATATATTTACATAGATAAATATTTATTTTGTTATATATTTATTTTTATTTATTTTATATTTATATTTATTTTATATTAAGTTTTTATTTTATTTTATTTTCAGTTTATTTAAAAAAAAATATAATATTTATATTTTTATTTTGTTATTTAACCTTTTTTAATAAAACAGAAACAAGTTTTTCGACATTTTTAATAATTTATAGTAATTAAATTTAATAATTTATGTATTAGTTTTTTTAGCTGAATTTATTTTAAATTTTTAAAAAAATTGACCCATAATTATTTATTAATTAATTATGATTTATTTCTAAAATTATTTTCTATTGAATTTTTCTGTTTTATTTTAAAATTCAATAGATATTTTATTATATATATATATATATTTTTTATACTTATATAAATATATATATAGATATATATATATATATATATATATATTTATATAAGTATAAAAAAATATATAATATATATATATAAAATATCTATTGAATTTTTCTGTAAAATTAAAATATTAAAATTCAGAAGATATTATCAACTTAATAAATTGAATACACAAACAATTTAATAATAAATAAAAATAAAAGTAGAAAAATATAAATATTTATTGATTGCATGTTTAAATTTTCACTGTTCGCCCTGTTTTATTAAGATTTTAATTTTTATTTTTTCCAAGTTTTCTAAAATTTAATATAAAATAAAAAAGTGTTTTGGCTAAAAATAAAAGTAAATAAAAAAAAATAGGAAGAAAACTCTAGAAGTCTTAAATAAACATTATGAAGTATTTATAATAAAAATAAAAGAAATACAATTAAAAAAGTTAAAAGTTCGATTTCAGATTATGAAATTAAAATAATATAATTAAAATAATATAAAATATATTTAAATATTTAAAAATATTTAGATTAATTGATGTTTGAGAATTGAGCTCAAAGAAATTATGAATAATATAATATAATAATATAAAATATATTTAAATATTTAAAACTATTTAGATTAATTGATGTTTGAGAATTGAGCTCAAACAAATGATGAATTCATGAATAAAATGTTGACATTGACAGATCACAGTCGGATTGGGAGAACGTTTGGCATCAGGAGGCGCACTCGCGCTGCCGGGACAAGCTAATCCGCCAGCTGTACTGGGCCTGCGAGAAGGACATCTACCGGCTGACGCGGCGCAACCGGAAGAGGGCCGGCGACGAGGTCTGGCTGAAGAGCAGCTCCAACCGTAAGTGAGATCGTCGAGTGAGTTTTCTTTTGCTATTTGATATTTGAATTGCAGCAGCTGTTGGCGGCGCTGCCTCCACCTGGCTGCACGTCAACTATGCCAATATGTTGCTGCGCAGCAGGCGCTCCGATGCGCCCTCCATTACCAACGAGTGCTGCACCAAGACCGGCTGCACCTGGGAGGAATACGCCGAGTATTGCCCCTCGAACAAGCGTCGCAATCACTACTGAGTGCCCACGGCTAGCGCTCTATAATATTATATATCCGATGTAGCACATACATACCTATACCTATATATACATATATATAACATATATACAAACGATATGAAACTAACAATTTTTTTTCTCTAGTTTTTTGTTGTTGTTTGTTCGTTGTTCGATTGTCTGTTCGAAGCTAAATAATAAATAAAATTGTTTGCCACAAAACCTCTGTGTTTCCATGGGTAGAAGAAGAAGATATTGTATATATGGATATCGATATCGATATCGATATCAGTTTGGATCAGTAGAATTTTCAGATAGATCAACCTGAAACATGATCACAACTCACATTGAGTCTTTGAAGCTGCGTTGTTAATTGCTGATCGATCAGTGATATATATATATATATATATATAGTTATACGAAGCTAGGCAAAGTTCTATAAAGAAAACTCAGAGGCATTCAGACTCGTTTATATCGTTCTTAGTGGACATAAATTATAAATAATAGAAGTGTCTTTCAATAACTTTGAATATTTAACTTAACTTGTCCTAAATTATATAACTTATACTTATATATACTCTACTTTTTATATATACTATATAAAAGCGAATCGAGGTAAACTGAAAGGGGGTATATATATGTCCACGATGCTCAACTATCTTTCTGTTCATTCTGCTCTTCGTTCGCCTAAGCCTAAAGACTGGAAATTACACCCCAAAGCTTTGCAAGGTTTCTTCCAATTTGCTACCCTCCAATAAGCGTAGATATATCCGATATATCTTTATGATCTGGGGTCTTGGTCAATGCGAGCTTATGTTCCCGGCATCAAGTCTCCTGCTTCAATAGTTTGCCTTCAAATGGACAGAGGAACGAGTGGATGGATGGACGGACGGACGGAAAGATGGATGAACGGAGGTATGGAAGGCCGATTGGATGGACAGGTGGACGGACGGAGGGACACGGAGGGACGCACAGTTAAACGGACTGACGAATGAATGGATAGACGGACGGATGGATGAACGGACGAAGGACGGACTAATTGACGGAAGGTTAGATGGACGGAAGGACGGATAATGGACGGACGATTGGATGGACCGGAGACGGACTGATTGATGGACGATTGGATGGACGGAAGGACGGACGGAAGGACGGACGGATGGATAGACGGACGGATGGACGGACGGACGATTGAATGGACAGAAGGACGGACTAATTGACGGACGGACGGATGGATGAACGGACGGACTGATGATGGACGGACGATTGGAAGGACGGAAGGACAGACTGATTGATGGACGATTGGATGGACGATTATACAGACGGATAGACGGACGAATGGAAAGACGGGCGTACGTAGGCAGAAACTGACGGGAAATGCACAACACCAATCCCCTCCTTCAGTTCGTGACTGAGCATAAAAACGCAGATCTTCCAAAGTTTTTCGAGCCAAAATCCGGCAATTTCACAGGCCAAGCTTACTCTGCATCCCACCTCCACAGATCACTGACCCATCTGCGGGGACGCGACTAATCCGCAAGCAAAGAAGCTTGAACAATATAATCTACGATAAATCGTAGTTGGTTGGGGAACTAGCTATGCCCAGGTGCGTCGATGTATGTCCTGCAGGAAACCAGATTCGAAAGACGCAAGTTGAGCGAGCAATAAAACCAGATCAGCTTGTGAGAAGAAACATTTTAATTACAAATTTAGACTGAAATCAATCAAATTGTTCACAACTTTCGAATAGTTAAGCCCAAGGAACAGATTTTCTAGCAAAACTCTGCGGGCCATAAATAACTTAAGCTAAAAGATATTTTCTTTTCGATTCTTTTGGTGGACAACTTAGGAGGGCCGAGAGCAGGCAACAAACATCAAGAAAAACTTGCCAAGCTTTTCCGATACTTTTCTTTTTGTATCACAGATGCATTATTCAATCAATGTCGAGGTTAGTCAAATTAAACTAAAAAAAAATAAACAAAAAAAAAACACAAAATTGTTAATGCATAAATTGAAATCTGATTTGGTTCTATTTCGATCGAAATTCGCTCAAGTTTGGTTTGTTATGTCTAAAACGGAATAACAAGGCTTAAATCATAATCAAATATCAAACTATCGGACTATCGAACTATCGAACTAGCTTTACGATATAGCCTAGCCCAGAGGCAAATACAATCTTTGTCGCATATAAATATTAAACTACTCTTAAAAGCGACCAACTACATAAAACTCTCTGTCTCTCTATATATAAATAGATATATGAATTATATATATATAGGTGTGTACATATATATAGGCTAGACGCTATGTAGGTATATGTGGATAATCTCTAGAGCGGTAATGCCGATACCGTTATGAGGGAGAGCACAGCTAACTAATCGCAATAGTATAAATGCGAAAGAGATGGCAACAGATCCCGACTGCGAGACTTGACTATGACTATATATAAATCTGAGCAATCGGACATTGGTTAATTGCGGCTATTGCTATTGCTATTGCCGCTGCTCGCGTCGTCGTCCTTGCAATCCTTGCGCGCCTTGCCGCACTTGTCCGCTGTCGTCGACTGATGCTGGCGCTTCGAGCCATTCGCCTGCCCCTGGTCGTAGTGCCTGTCCAGCATTTCGAGCAGCGTCTGCTGTCGCTTGCCTCCAGCATGAGCCGGAGAGCTTGCTGCAGCAGCAGCAGCTGTGTTGTTGCTGTTGCTGATGGAGGTGCTGCTGGTGCTGCCGCCCGCGCCTCCGCTACTTTCGAGACTTGCAGCCAGCATCATGGCATTGGCCTTCTCCTGTTCGGCGTCATCATCGTTGTCCGACAGCACAATGCCGTTGTTAAGCGAGCAATCGGAATCGGCAAATAGATCAGGACTTTGCTGTGTTGTGGCGCCAGCAGCTGGGGCAACTGGAGTTGCCACAGCGTCCGCTGCGATGGGCTGGACTTGGTCTTGGTGATTGTGCAGCACCTTCAGGCTCTCGAGCACAAACGTATACAGCGTTTTGCCGGCGCCCGCCTTCTTGAAGGGACGCAGCACGTTGTAGAGTTGGTGCACAGTAGTGCCATGGGCACGGAACAGTTGCCAGAGCACGTGCAGGTCATCCCTCAGCTGGCGATTGCCGAATGTGTAGTAGGCCAGTGGGCGGCCGTGATGAGCGCAGACCATGATCTGAATAAGCGCCTTGAGGTGCGGATCGCCGCCGAAGGCGCCGCAGCCCCAATTGCCGGTGGCCACGCCGGGCGGCGGCGTCGATAGCCAGTGCCTGAAGCCAATGGACGCCTTGTTCAGCTCACGCAAAATGAGATCCTCGCGATACTGATGAGCTTGCATCTGCTGGTCAAATCTGAGCGCGTCGATGGCCACAATGGCCGTGTGGCGGCGTCGCGACTTGTCGTAGGGTGTCCGATCCTCATGGTTGCCGGCCCACACAAAGCTTCTCGCATATCCCGTGTAGTTGCTGAAACGCTCGCTGCCGACCATCAGCAGCGCCTCCGTGGACAGCAGGCACTCGGTGAAGAGCTTGGAGATGAGCAGCTCCGGGCAGATGACAAAACGTATTTCCTCCTGTACGCAGCCGTGGCCCAGCACGCCGCCGCCCAGAAACTTATTGGCGAAGTCGACCTGCAGCAGGCCAATGCCCTGATCCTCGATGGTGCCGCCGGCATTAATGTGCATGGGTATGCTGGCCAGGACCGCTGAGCTCGTATGCCAGTTAACCTCATCCTCCGGCTTCCCGCTGATACGCATAAAGGTCAGGCAGCCAGTGGGCACGTTGCTGGCGTCGCGTTCCGTGGGACAGACGCGTCGAAAGTAGTGGAAGATGCACTTCAGCTTCTCGAGCACCGCTGAGCCGCCTGCCTGATAGAGTCTGCAACGCATAAAGATTCATTTAATTGAAGCATATGGCACACAGTTTGCATCGACTGCCCAAACCCATTTTGATTACCTATTGAAGTTAATGTCTGGAAAGTTGCTGTACTCGGATTTGCGCTTGAGCGTGTTGCGACGAGGAAACGTGCATAGAAAGGCGTTGGCCAGCAGGCACGAGATCTGCTCCTGGGTCAGCGACAACGCAGCTGTGTGATTCTGCTTAAGCAACGGTATTGGCGCCTTGATCAGCTCCGGCAATCGCAGCGCCAGGCGAATGATGCGTGGCAGCAGATCTTCGAAGAAGACGCACGACTCGCTGTCGTCCAGCTCATCGTTGAAGAGCTTGTGCAGCGCGCAAAAGCTCCATTGGTTCTTGTACGTGCTGTTGTACGATAGAATGGCCGCCTCCAGCTGTTTGCTGTTGCCGATCGGACGCAGCAGAGCCCGCTTGATCATGCCCCAACGCGACTCAATGTCCGATGTGCCATCCTCCGCCTCGACGGGATACTTGCTCTCCGCGGCGCACGGCAGACGCACATGTTCGGCGTCCCAACGATGTCCGCCCCGAAATGGGCGCGGCGGCTCGTTGTCTGGCTCTCGTATGGGATGCCGGTAGAGCACCTTGTGCTGGGCGCTTGGCAGCACGGCGCCCAGATGATCCAGCTCGAATGGTAGCAGGCCGCGGTGCACAGCCTCGATCGGCAGGCAGCGCCAGTGCCACTGCGCCTCCGATTCGCCATCGCTGCCTGCTGCGGAAATAGTAAACAATAAAAATTTGCAAAAATGCAAACTTTTCCAAACGCCGATGCGCTGCACTTACCTGAGTGGTCTGACGCTGTCGGCGTTGCTCTGCCATCGCCTGTGTCCTGCCTTGGCGCATCTATTTTCGTGCTGTTATTACTCTCGCCGTCCATTGGATAATAAACGCGCGTGTTCTTAAAATTCGCAAGATGTTTAACAAATTGAAAACGCAACAGCGTTGCCAATTGTTTGCGTAGTGTTGATAAACGGCTACTGAGTTTCAACATTGCTCTGTTTTGCTCTGTGTATAATAGTATGGTAAAATAAAAAGTCGATTCAGTTATAAATCAATTTAATTACGTCTCCGAAGCTAAATAATAGACTAGGTTTACTTTAATTTATGTATTTTGTGCAAAACATGTGTATTCGATATATCGATACACATGACTGAAAAACTACGCGCAGCCAACTTCAAGTTGACAAGTTCAAATTTATGCGCGCGAACAAGGCCCTTCTGTTGAGCGATTAACAAGATTGCAGTGTATTAGTAAAAATGTGACATAAAATTAACAACTGGCGGTTATAGACATTTCTTTGTACTTCATATAACTAACATTCAAAAGAAAAGCAATGTGAAAATAATTATTTTTGCTGCTGTTTTTTAAATTGCTAACAAAAAACAAAATATAAAAATTACGCTCAAATATTTACTCCAGAATCGAGCACCGCTCATTTGAAAACATCACATTATGACATACATATCATTTGTAAGTATGTAACTTGTTTATTTGATTGAATTATGCTAATTTCGTGAAGCTGCGAAATACAAACAGAAAGATAGCCGAAAAAAGAAGTGAGCCAGAGAAATAGAGAGACAATACGCTACGCCTCTCTTTTCACCGCCTGCACTTTATCCTACTGATTGAGTGCTTTCAATGTTTTGCTCTTTAGTGTCTGCCAGTTCGTTCACTGATACCAGACCCAGGAGGACTTGCTAGCCAGCCAAAGGCACTTCTGGTGATATGCATATTCAGAATGAAGCATACAATTTGCTTTGTTTGTTGGGAATAACAATCGAACTTTAGCTATAGAAGCGATTTTATAGATTTTCAATCTCATGTTATTTTGCATGCAATAAGTTAAATTCCACAAAGATCTGCTGGGTTGTTAGTGTATTATTTCACAGATGTGTTTGTCATTATTTGTGAGTGTGTGTGTGTGTGTATGTTAAGTGCTTTCGCAGAGTTCAACACACCTTTATCGCGGCCTAATCAGCCGCATTGGGTTAGCTGCGCAGTTGCTATTTCTCAGCTATATTTTTTATTAGGAACTCTTTAGCGCTGCCTTCGTGCGAAGTTGCGCGTCGCGTCGAAGCAAGATAGTCGAATGCGTAAACAAATGAAAATAGCAAAAGAAAGCAGCAACAAAATTATCACAACAATTTTTGTCCCGCAAAGCTCAATTAGTTTAGTCTGATGTGTACGTGTGTGTGTGATAGAGCGAGAGAAAGAGAGAGAGAGAGAGAGAATGTTTGTGTGTGTGTGCGCTTGTATGTATGTATGTCTGTGTGTGTAGCCTTCAAGTCTACGTCGCAGTCGCCTTGACCATAACCTAGAAATATATGTACATAGCTACGTATTGTGAGAGCGCCAGAGATTGCCTGTTTGCGTGTGTGTGTGTGTGTGTACATGTATTTACGTCAGCTGCGCAGCAGCAAACATGTACGCAGACCGCGACTGCGGCAGCGAACGCAACGGCTTCCAATCAGGTGCCAAAAACAAACAACAGTGAAAGCAACAGCAAAAAAAGCGCCAGCATAAGGAAAGCACTCACTCACACACACACACACATACAAACTCCCGTATATATAGAGAATGCGAAATGTTACTAAACTTTTCAAGGTCACCTCAAGTATGAACTATTAATCTCAACCAAAGCCGATATAACGTTCACGTCGACATCGACGTCAACGTCAGCGCACTCAACTGCAAGCAGCATCAAAAACGTTTGGCGAGCAAACTGCAAATGTTGTTGTTTATGCATAAGACAAAATTATGAGTCTCATTGTCAAAAGCAGTCTCTCTTGCACGCGTTCTCCCGCTCGCTCTCACTCTCCCTCTCTCTTTCTCTCACTGGGGATCACATGATCTAAATGTTTGTTTGTTTGCGCTTAGCACTTCGGGAATGCATCCACTTTTTCGGGTTTCAACTGGTTTTTCATATTCTTGCAATATTCTTGCATAATACAAGAATAAAAAATAGAAATATACATATATATATATACTTTTATATATATATGTATTTATATATATATATTTATATGTAAATATTTATATATATAAAGCTCTGATCGAGCGATATTAATTTACTTGGATGCACAGTGACGTAATTCTGGCAATATTGGCATGATAAGTCAATATCTACATGTCTATGACTTTCTAGCCAAAGTTCCTGTTTTTTACATAAACGTTCTATGGGGCATATTATAAGGAAGGGGGCAAGAGTGTTTACAAAACTCTTCTCGACTATGTATACATAGTTTTCACCTAAGCGAAATCTCTCTTTGCAATATAATGGCTTATATCAAAATCGTCTCCATGTTGGAGTGAGGATTAATTAATTAATTAATAAAATAATAATAATATACTTTCCAACTGTGCTCTAGCTTAAAGAATTCGGGGCGAGACATCAGTGCTAGCTGCAAAAGTATCGCTGAGATACTAAGAAAGAAATTAATTTCTAATGAAAGTCGTAATGAACATCTAGCTGCTCTAATTTACCTGAAGCTCTCTACAACTCAAACTTCTTTTCAGATTAGACATTCACTTTCTTTTCAGATTAGACATTCGCCGCACTCCAACTTTAATTGGCATAGGAATAAGCATTGAACCACTGTGCGACGCAAGCAAAGTTTGGCGATAGCAGCTTAAGCAGCGCGGCTAATGGCGAGAGAGGAAGAGAGATAGAGATGGACACAAGTCTACACATTCCTAGATGTACAGTTGCAGGAGCAGCAGGAAGCTTGGACTCAAGTGAATACAGCGAAGATTGCATTGACTTAAATAACTTATCGATGTATGTAATATAAATAAATAAGAAAGCTGCAAGGACTTAATACAAGAACAGCATTTTCTAGTTCGATTTGCAAAATCAGTTCGATTGTTCACTTGTGCCGTGAATTCAGTGGTTTCTGAAAGATATATACTATTCAAGCGTTCCTGATTTTATGAACCACTAAATAGGTAAAATGAACATTCGAATTGTTCAGCAGCGTAAAACTATGCAAACAGTTCCCCATTATTCACTTAGTTCATTAGTTCGTGAGCAATTGAACAATGAACTACTGTACGTAATCACAAATTACTGATTAAGTTCATTAGATCATTTTAATTAACATTACTGAGCATATCGCTCAATTCTAAAATATAGTTTAAGTACAATATAAGAAAGAAATTAAATAATGCTTACGTAACTAGATGATATATATATAAAATCAAATGTGTTTATAATACCAATTTACGATATTCAAAACGCTTAATTTAAAAGTGTTTTAAATCGTCCAATTAGCACTACTTATCTCGTGTAACGCCTGAGATCACCCTGCATTGTCGCACACTGCAAGCAACTCGAATTGCACTTTGCTTTTGAAGTTTATAAACGTGTGAAAGAAAGAGACAGATCTATAAAAGTTTTTTGCACATGCTTCACAAAGCTTTTAAGCTGAGCCGCATTCGGTTTCTTTTGGTTTTTTTTCTGTGTTGGCAGCAACAAAACCGTTAAATACTTGTGCCAAGTTTACTGTTGTGTTTGTTGTTATTTTCAGCAAACAAAGATACGAAAAGGGGCTGCAATTATTGCAGCTATCGAATATTGCTTTTGATTTGCATTGTTTGCACTTTGCGTTTTCGCCTCGGCAGATTAGATGAGCTGTCGAGAGTGTAAAAACAAAGGCAAGTGGGCGTGCAGCTCTAAAGCAATCCAATGCAATTCACACACACACATACACGCACGCACACTTGCAATCGCCTGTGTATGCATATATGTTATGTGCATACATATATACATACATATGTACCTACTCACATATTTATATACGGACACCAGTGGCTGACAGCTATAAATAGAAACGAGCTGGATGGCAATGGTGAATGAGAGAGAGGGGTCAACGGAAAGCTTAGTGCATGGGCCGAGCAATGGCTGACCACGTGTTGCTAGGCGGGTCGCTCAACCCAACTGGACTGCTCACTTCTTCTGGCTGCTGCTGCATTTCGTTATCATTGTTCTAGTTGTTACTTAACACACACACATAGATATAAACAAATGTTTGCAAGTACGTGTACTGCCCCGTTAAATTTTCGCATGCGCGCATGACCTTGAAAATTGTACGTCGCGACGTCTAAAAACGGCTGTCGCTGTTAACGTCGACGTCGACGCCACCGTCAGCAAGTCAACAAACAGTGAAAGAGACGCGAGCAAAACCAATTTTTTCTTCTACTTGTTTGCTGCCTGAAAAACGAAATCGCAAATTATTGATGGCACTTCCACGCACACATACACATATACATCTATACATACATACATACATATATATGTACTAGTTTTACTGTAAATAAAGTCCACTGAAAAGTCTTATACGATTTGAAAACGGAGCAACAAATAAAGAAGTCAGGACATTGAAGTCGGTCCAGACCGACTGCATAATACCCATTCGTGCAGTTCAAGTTTGTTAAAATGTAGATATTGTCTTAGAATTTGTAGCTCTTGAAATTCAAATGGTTTCCTGCCCTGGCTCTAAGACTGCAGAAGATATAGTGTTCCCCCAATAAGTCTAAGACTAGAACAGACATTGCACGAAGCCAAAGTTCTTGACAGAGTATCAGACAAGTAAGAGAGCTCTGGAGAGCTCTGCTTTACTAAACACTACATTATTCTATACATACGCAGCACACAGGCAAATGCAAACACACACACGCACGCGCTCTGCTTACTGCGCAGTTGACGCATCGGCTGCGCTTATGGATGAGCTTTGCTATTGGAAATGAATTACGTGTTGTTCTAGTTGGATTTTCTTATTGCAATATGTAGAATATGCAGAGTGTAATAATGACATCCAGATGAGCGTATTGTTTGTTGTGATGGGGAAAGGGAAGGGGAAGGAGGAGGGGAAGGTGTGTGTGTGTGTGTGTGTATGTGCTACGAACATCGTATCTGTGTATGCTACGAAACATTACAAGTCTCGAGAATAAAAATGACACGAGTTAAGGGGTGTTTTCCGACAATTTTAAAGCTTTCAACAAAAATTAAGACAAGCATAACCCTAATTTTTCCAATTAGATTTCAACTGGATGAAAAGATTTCAAGTATGAGCAGCTCTAAATGTTGATTGTTAAATATATATATGTATATA